CAAGTGTCTTAGCCACTATGCTACCAGAGCTCCCGTGTACCTTATAGGGAATAAAATTTGAGGGAGACAAAACTTGAGCTCTCATTTAATTTCTGCTCAGCATTGTGACATCCACTGAGGGCAGGGCAAGGTAGACCATTCTGCACACAACATTGAGCTCTTAGAGAACAGAGTCTGTGGCAAATTCTATTTTTTATCAACCAAGTATCTTGCCTGATACTATATATAATTGAATAAAGAAATGTTTCTATATACTTACTGGTATAAACCTGCCATCTAAGAGAAGAATATATATCTGACTCAGAGCAACCCCACCTTGGGTTTCCAAGGCAATATCACTATGGAAGTAGATTGCCCAGTCTTCTTTCCAAGGAGTGGCTGGTGGGTTTGAACCACCAGCCTTCTGGTTAGCAGTCAAATGCCTTAGGCACTGTGCCCCAGAACTCCCACTGGAAAAAATAGTAGGGGAGAAAAGAAGGGACTGAATCTTAGTTCCTCTCTCATACTCACCAGAGAGTCAGACCAGGGAATTTATGTAACTCTCTGTACCCATTTCTTTTATTTAATATCAGGGTCAGGGCCAGCTAGTTCATATCTCTTTAGTTCAATTATTCAGCTATCCAAAAACTGATAAGTAGCTGTACAACTTCAAAGACCAATGGAAAAAGGAAGCCTATGATAAAAAAGGTGCTGGTGGCATTTTAGGCAAGTTGTAATGTGAAGAGGGGAAACTGAAAGAATGTACGAGTACTAATGAAGGAAACATAAAATGGAATACATTGTGAACGTATCTGCCTGAACCCCCAACTCTTCTTCCTATGACCTGAGATCATCAACAATAGGTTCTAGTAATAAAGCTGAAATAAAATGCCTTTGCATGGTAAGAAGTGAATGGGAGGGTCATCCTAAATTTAGGTAGACAGCATCAAGTCCAGTGTCATGAAGCAATAATGAGTGGAACAAGTTGGGACAATTTAGTGCTTTAGGATTATTAAAACATATTCCCAGCAGGAGATGAAAGGATTATCTTTAGAACAGTTCCTGACTAGGAGATACTACAGGGACATGAGTAGTTTGGTGCATGAAGCAGCAGATCTGATGGTGAGAAGTCTAGGCCACGTCAGGAAAGGAACAGGGAGGGACTAGGAATCTGCCACCAAAAAGAAGGGATGCAATGCAAGCCCAGATACATTGTGGAAGCAAAAGAAGCACATGGGACCTAATGAGAAAAGAAATTAGAAGTAACATTTGAAACATCAGGTGTCAGATAAATTGATGCAGATAAGGATATGCTCTGATGTTACATCGGAGATTTTTAGCTGGGAAGACCTTGGAAAAATTTATGTACACAGTATTTTCTAAACTTAAAAAAAACTTTTTAAAGTAGTAGAACTGTTTGTTTAAATATAGAAAGAAGAGGAAATAGCACTAGGGGGCTTCGCAGCCCTGCAGAACACAGTTGAAAACCCCAGTTCTCAAGGGTTAAAGAGGTGGATTTGAGGGATAATATCAAATATTATGTGTATAAATAAAAGATAAAGAGAATGAAGCATTTTTAGATGGAAATCCATGGTCCTAGGGGATGTAGAATTATAGTTTATATCAATCATTAATTTACCATAGTAAGTCACTGATTTCAAATTATAGCGTACAATTTTTAATTAATTTAGAAAAGAGCAGCTACAATTTAGTAAGTTTTTCGGATGTATTGAGAGTGATCTAAATTTGGATCTTGAAGATATTATTTGTAGCTACCGGGAAAAAAGAGCATTTTTGTTTAACCTCTAATTATATATTTATTTTGTAATTCCTCTTACACCTCTTTTTAAAGATTCTTTCCCTTGGATTCTTCTATAAAGTGTGTCTGTGTAAAGATTTGTGGTTTAAACTCCTAGATGTTTAATTTTTAAGGAGTATATATAAAACAATGATGTAAAATGTGTTTTTTCAATTACCTTATTTCTTTGTCTTTATTTTATTCTTTTATCATTTGTATTGGTCTTATAAAACTTAATTAATTAGGTATTTATTTGGATCATCACTGCCATTCTGTCATGTTAATAGCATGCTTCTAGGGGGGATGGCTATGAGTCGAAATCGACTCAATGGCAGTGAGTTTGTTTTGTTTTTTTTTGAGAGCAAAAAAGAGAAAAAAAAATCCTGCCTCTTATTAAAAATAGGGCACCATTTAAAATATTTTTAGGGAAACAAGTCAAATTGGCCATTATTGCGTGTTCGCTTTGTGTGTGGGAAAACAAAGCACAGTCCTATTTTATATCCAGAGTGAGAGCTAAGGGAACAGCTTCCTAATTTGATTATCTTATAGGTGTATTTCTAATTGAAGTACATGAGCTGCCTAATTTAGAAAATGATCTGATACTTATCTGTGATGGACTGTTTCAAGGCTTCAATTAGTAACTTACTGAATCAAAGTGTGTTTTATGCCTTGCTTTTCAGAAAAAAGTCATTCTTCGATTGAATCGTTTTTGTCAGTTATAATGTGGTAATGATACAGACATCTTTATATAGTTATTAGTGCCAGAGCAAACTTGATTCTTATGGTGCTGATCATTGAAGCCTGTGATGTAGTTTTATTTATAGAAAATGGAATTCATTTTAAGTTGAGAGTTAAGCATATAGTATACTCTATTGTGACTACTAGGACCATGATATTATATAGCTTATCATATAGATAAGACGTGGGATTGATTTTTTTCCTTTTGTTTAGCACAAAACTTTTCAGAAGAAAAATGTGTTACTTTCATATTTAACTAACTGGGTTTTCATGATAACTTAATGAAAGGGTCAGCATGTTTTTATCCGTAACCAAAAAAAAAAATAAAACCAAACTCACTGCCGTGGAGTCAGATCTGACTCATAGCGACCCCTCCTTGGGTTTCTGAGGCACATAACAACAACAACAACAACATCACTATGGAAGTAGATTGCCCAACCTTCCTTTCAAGGAGTGGCTGGTGGGTTTGAACCGCCAGCCTTCTGGTTAGCAGTCAGATGCCCTAGGCACTACACTACCAGAGCTCCCATTTATCCATACTGCAGTTCTATTCCCTAAATTGATAAAGATTCAGTAAAAATATCTAAAACTTTATTTTAAAATGTATATACCATTTTATACAGTACAACTTTTGATAAATATTATTGTTAACTAAGATAGGTTGAATTTCTGGATAACACCAGCTTTTACTTTTTACATTGTTCCTTTTATGCTATAAAGACTGCAAGATATATAGATAATTATTAGTTGTAATAATAGATACCACAAAATGATACTGTTTATATTTAGATTAAATATGAAACTCAAATTAAGAAGATAAAACTACTCTCAAAAGATAGCCTGGGAATAAAAAGTAAACTGGAAGATGAAGACAAGGAAAAGGTAATATATTAAAATCATAAACTTTTTGTTGATGGAGGCTTTCTGGAGTGTTCATCTTTTAAAATATTTCTTTAAATAAAGTCATCTTATATGAAGATCTTTTTTGATTAAGCCTTTAAGTGATTATTTAATTTACAGAGTATTGCTTGAATGTCTATTCAATTAAAATTGCTGAAAGGTAGTCACTGTGGGGTTAAAAGGGATAGAATCCAAAGAAAACTTTAGTGTCCTTAGGAGGTAATTGTGTATTTCTAATTAATACTTTGTACGTTTTTTTTGGTTTTTTGATTCCTGAAATATTTTAAATGAAAAGTAAACAAAATGTAGTATCTTGATTCTTTCCTTTATATATACATAATTTTGTTACATTTTAACCTTTTCATAGAGAAAGTGGAAAGAAAAGATTGCATATCTAAGCAACAGACAAAAAGAGTGGCAGGGAATACTTAAATAAATTCTGCTATGTATCTGCTGTAATGCAGGCTTCTAATCCTCTCACCTATCTCCATATAAATGATTCTGTTCAAGACCATAGATGTTTTCTTCACTAAAAGCAGTAAAGCTCTTTTAGATGAAATGTCTAAAAACATCTTGTAATAACTTGGAGCATGCTGGCAAGAGTAGTCACTTGTGACTATGTGTGAAACCCCCTTAGCCAGTCGATATTGTAATAAGCAAAAATGGTAGCATCACTCCATTATTCAGAAAAGCCAACAGCGTGCTTGTTCCTTAGGCTGCAGCATTCATTAAGAAAAGCTTACTGGGCTGAAAGCTGGAAACAGATGATAACGGGATATGATTTTCATATTTAATGCTTTCCTTGGAAGAGTATGTGTGCTACAGATTGATAGAAGAATCAACTGCTACTTTACTAAAAGACTTTCAGGTTTGCCCTATAGCTACCGATGGAATCATTCAGCCAAGAAATTAACTTTTTCTCCTTTTACCTGCTTTATATATCTGCTAAGCAGGCTGCCTGGCTGCCAGTAAATGTTATTATGCAGTTAACTGTTTGGTATTTAAGACTCTTATCAGAAAAGAAACAGAGGCCACACTATTTTGTTTTTATAGTAAGAGGAAGGTTTTAGTTTTTTTCTCTGTGCATTAGCAGGCATTAATCTAACTTTATAGCAAGTTTTAGTTTTTCTTCCCTATAGATTAAAAAGTTTTAAAAAAAAGTATAGTATTATTTAAACTGTAAGATACAAAGCACAAAGCCCCAACAACCTTGACCTATATAAAGAGGTCTTTAATGATAAATGATTTATCTGCCATTAGATGTATGCCAAATGTGTATGACATGATAGACTTCTGAACAATTCAGGCATTTTTTCTGTTTGATGTTTAGTCATCAAATAATTGATGTGTTTTTAACCTCTAAACAGTTTGTTCTCTTTCTATGCCATTCCTGATAGTTACTTTCTTAAAACAGCAGTGTTGATGGTACTTAAGTAAAATGGAAGACTTTTTTTTTTCCCTATTCACACTACTGATTCTTTACCTTACATATAGTTATATGAATATGTATTCTTCCTTTAAGTCATATTTGAAATTAGGGCAAGAACTATACAGTTGACAATCCCTTAAAATGTTACATATTATAATTAGAAGAGAAACATTTCAATTTCTACTGAAAAGTGTCATAGCCTTAAAAGCTTTGACTGTTAACTGTATATAAGAATCAAATAGATATTGTACTGAAAAATTTATGTCTTGCCTTTCTCAGTCTTTCATTGATGTTTGAGCAATTAAAAGGTAAATACATTTCAGCAAAAAATCATTAATTACTTCATCTTTATTGCATACTAATTCCAGAACAATTTCCTATCATATGAGTTACATTTTATTATTTCAGTGGAAATCTGTGCTCCTCTTCATTGGGTAGGCATATCAATTAGTCTTTGCACCCAGAGTCATTGGTGTCCAGGGACTGGCCTCAGAACACAGTACAGTCTTACCCGTTGAATTTGTTAAATAGTTGTAGAGGAGTTGTTAAGCGGTTAATCCTGTATGAGAAGCCACAGTAGGCCTCTTCATAAATGCCCCTTCCCAAATGACACACTTCCTGTCCTTGAGATGCTAACCACAAAGTGATGTTCTTTCTAAAGTCCAGGATATATGTGGTAAGTGTCATTTACATGGGGCAGGTGTGAACTCACAGAGGAAGAAACCACTGTTTCCTTTGAAATGAGTCACCCAAGGTTTGGTGGAGGAGGTGATGTTTGAGCTGGGCTTTGAAGGATGGGAAGGACACCAGTCAGTGGGGATGTAATAATCATTCTGTGGGTAGGAGCAGTTAGTTAAAGGAGTACAAGTAGGAAAGCCCAGTGGGTGGGTAATCAGTCTGACTGAAGTCTCAAGTTCTTGTAGGGAAGAAATAGGAAATAAACCTGGAACTTTATCATGGCAATTCTTAGTACTGGGCTCCAGAATTGAAATTTCCTCGTGGAATCACTATGTGTATATGTATGTGTGTCTGTGTATCAGGCAGATTAAGGAGACTTGCAAGCAGAGCAGTTGCATCATAAGTGTGCAGGAAGATGAGTCTGGCAGCACCGTGCAGTCTGAAGTGTAGGTAGGAGATGGTAGAGCCCAGGAAGTGAGGGTCATTTCAGACAAGAGGAATTAACTGTATACCCAAATTGAGTGGTGGCCATTGAAGTGGAAAGCACTAATGAAGGGGAGAGGATTCATCAAATTAATGATAATTCTGAAGTTTAAAAAGTAGCTGTATAGTTTTCAGCCGTAAGCAGTAACCTAGATGTTCTACTAAGAAGGTAGTTACTAAGCAATGATTGCCCATTTTTTCAATGTTAAGCTTCAGCTTGGGTTTTCATTAATACTTCCATTGTTTTCATGCATTCAGTGGAAGCTCCATACAGTCATGTGTTGTCTTAAGAGGATTAATATTTGGGCTGCTCATCCCCAAGCTTGTTTGCACTATTAGTTACTTGGTGACCTTTTTTTTAAAAAAATTTTACAAATTTTACTATAATATAATAATCTTTTCCATCTGTTATAAGGAGCTCTGGTGGTGTAAAGCCTAAGGCATTTGACTGCTAACCATAAGTTGGCAGTACAAACCCACCAGCCACTCTCCGGAAGGAAGACCGGACAATCTTACTTCCATGAAGGTTTACTGCCTTGGAAACCCAAAGGGGGTCGCTATGAGTCAGAATTGACTCAATGGCATTGAGTTTGTTTGTTTTTGGTCCCACCTATTATATATTATCATTTTTTATTTTGGGTTAAACTCTAATTCTGGTTGTCAGAAAAAAGGTAAAGGAAAAGTGTAGTTTTATAATCAGACTGATTACAATCACAGCTGAAAGGAAAATAATTACTCCTCCGTGCACTGAGCTGCTTCATTTATAAGAGCAATAAAAACTTGCAAAGGACAGGTCAAGTTTTCTTTTACTCCAACACATAGGAAATTTGGAAAGTTGTGGCTTTGTAGTTCTTTCTTATGCTCTCCCAGATGTTAATTGTCATCTGTAGCCAAAAGGTATGTGATTGAGTAGGTTACCACTCTGAGCAATTAGAGTGCAGTCCCACCGGGGAACTTTAGGACACTGTGTAGAACATGCATCAGGGTTATTGTGTATGTAGGATATAGGAAAGGGGCTGCTTACCTCACTCCTATCTGTACTGACAGAGGGCTGTGCTTGGCTTCACTTCTGCCCCGCTGTGCAGGAGCTGAGCGAAGTACTCAGGCCGAAAGACGTAAGCGTTTGCAGTAGGACACTGTAGATATGTACTCAGATGTTGAGGGCCCAAAGAAAGCATGATGGGGGGAAGGGCTTGGGTTATTACTTAATTTTATCTATAAAGTTCTAGTTTCTTATCCTAAATAGCCTAAAGTGCTACCTTCACTGGCAGCCTCCTTGAATCACTGCAACAGTGCAACCATCTCCCTAAAGTAATGGGAACTCAGAACAGTTGCCCAGATTCTGATACTAAGAGGCTTGCCTTCACAGGGACAGTGACCTTCTCAGTACTTTCATCCTCAAAAGTTGTGACTCTTTGACTTATAAAGTGACCAGTTTGACGTAGAATGATGACAAGCTGAAAGGTAATCTCTGTGTTCAGCTGGAACTCTTTCATATCAACAGGGTTTTTTTTTTTTTTTCTTTTTTAATGTATATCTGTTCAGAAAACAACTAGAAATTAAACTGAATCACACAGTAACTTTTCAAGTCCTGGCCCCGAAACTAGATCTACATATCTCTCTTTTGGAGAGGGTAGGAAATGTTCTCTCTGGCTAACTAGACAGACCAAGAGCTCCTCTGGGGCTCTTAGACCCCCTCCCTACTGCACCTGGCAAGTGATAAGCTCTCAGAAGTAGCTTGTTGACCCAAAAGGAGAAGAACCAAGAACTATTCTATTCTGTTTGAATGAGGTTTGCACCCCATTTTATCTGCCTTCTTTACTTTATCCTGCCTCCCTTTCAGGGTGCCTACCAAATGACCTGTTGGGGAGTATAGCTTGAATTAAACACACATTACAACAACCTTACAAAGTAAGAACTATTTTTAAACTCATTTTACAGATTAGGAAAAAATGGAGTCTGAAAAAATTAAAAAATTTGCCCATCACATCACATAACTGGCAAGTGGCAGAACTAGATCACAGCAGACTGGTCCAAAGTCATAATAAATATGTCAACTTGCTTTCACTTAGGAAAATGGTAGAAGGGAATCTTTCTTTAAGGGATTTAGCTTCTCTTAGTCAAGAATGAAAAGAACAGCATTTTTAAACTTACCTTTCATGGGACATTTGGCTAACCACTATCTTCCTGCTCGCTAGTGGAATAATGTGGCAAGTGTGTTATTGTGACAGGCTCTTACAAGTGAGACAGTTGTGTGTTTGTGTATATTTGGTAGTCGAGTGATGAGGAGGAAATAAAAAATGAATGAGAAGGGGAAAAGGAAACAAAAGCAGATTTAGTAAGAGTAAGATAAATTTTGTGGGAAACATTGATTCTTTTCTCTTTTCAATAT